GTTCTATACCCTCATTTCCACTTGGCTGCAGTCGAAGACAGCTTTCTAATCTTTTCCTTTTTGAGCATCCATAAGTTCTGTAAATGTCTAAGCTTCCATCACTCTCCCTCACCACCTCTTTCAATCCCCCTTATATTATCTGTCAGGACAGGCAAGTCTTAGAGTTTGTTCCCATTCACAGTCCCTGAGTACTTGCATAAACCTGACTCAAAGATCAAACTACTGGCCAACTCATTAGTTGCTTATTGTCATTTTGGACAGCTCATTGAAACAAAGTTCAGAACAGTGGCTCACTCATAAAATACTGCTTATTATTTGACAGTTTTAAAACATGCTCTCCAATAGGCAAATACATTAAAAAGGAAGAAAGAAGCAAAATTATTTCAAATAACTCAATCTCTATTAAATAGAAAAAACTAGCAATCTAACCCCACAGTTTCTAGAAGAAAGGAAATTATAAGGACAAGAGGGAAAATCAATGTCACAGAAAATAGAAAAAAAAATTGAAACCATCAACAAGACCAAGAACTGGTTTTTACAGAGGGTCAATAAAAGACAAATTGTTGTCAAGCTTAACAAAAGGAAAGAAAGAGAAGACACTCATAATTTAAAAAAGAAATGAAAGAGGTGATATTACAACAGAACCAGCTGAAATGAAATTGATAATAACAATATTATGAAAACCTGTACTCTGATAAATTTGAAGATCTAGAAGAAATCGACAAATTCTTAGAAATTCCCACCCTTCCCAGACTGACACAATCAGACATAGAAACAGACCCATTATAAATGAAGAAATTGAGTAGAACATAAAATGACTCCTCCATTTTCTTGTTCAAATGTTGAAGTATTCTATAAATCTTAGATATGAGCCCTCTTATCAGATATGTGATGCTAAATATTTTTTCCCAGTCTGTGAGTTTCCTTTTTACCCTGTTGGAGAAGTTTTTGATGTGCATAGGGATTTGATTCTTAGAAGGTCCCTCCTATTCATCTACTTTGTTCCCTCCTGTTATGAGAGAATAATCTCACTCCAGAAACAATAGCACATTTCCATAGGGGGCAAACAATAAATACTGATAAAGCTGTGGACAGATTGGTGCCCTTATTCACTGCTGGTGGGAATGTAAAAGGTATAGCCACTATGGAAAGTCAACTGGCGCTTTCTCAAAAAGTTGCAAATTCAATACCATTTGACCCAGTAATCTCACTATTACGAATATACCCTAAAGAAAAATGAAAAAATATTCCTCCACAAAAAAAGTCCTGTCCCAGATAGCTGAATTCTACAAGACATTCAGAGATAAGTTATAACCAATTTTCCCAAATTGTTTTTTTTCAAATAGTAAAAGAAAGAACACTCCTATAGTCATTATATGAAGCAAGCATAACCCTGACACCCAAATCATGCAAAAACATTACCAAAAGAGAAAACTGCATGTCAATATCTCTCACAAAATAGATGTAAAAATTGATAATAAAATTCTGGTCAGTAGATTGCAACAACATATTAGAAACGAATTCATCATGACCAAGTAGAAGTCATAACAAACAGGTATGCAAATTGGTTCAGCATAAGAAAAACAATGTTAACAAAAAACTTATCATATTCAAAAAGCAAAGAACAAGAACCACATGATCCTATCAATTGATGACGAAAAGGCTTTTCACAATACCCAACACCCCTTCCTAATGAAAACATTCAACAAGATAGGATTTGAAGGGAACTTTTTCAACAGAGTGAAAAGTATATATGCAAAACCAAGAGCCAACATGATTCTCAATGAAGAAACATTTAAGGCATTTCCCCTGAGAACAGAAACCAGATAAAGATGCCTACTTTCACCACTCCTGTTAAACATTGTATTGGAAGTACTTGCTAGGGCAATACAACAAGAGAAGGAAATAAGATGTGGTTAAAACTCTTGCTATATGCATTGATATGATAGTCTATATAGAAACCCCCAAGGATTCGACCAAAAAACGCTTAGACCCAGCAGACCAATTCAGTAGATCGCCAGGATATAAAATTAATATATAAAAATCAATAAAATTCCTCTACATTAACTAAGAAAACCCAGATAAGGAAACCGAAGAAAGCAATGCCTTTTATAATAGCCAACAACAAAATGAGGTACTTGAGAATAATCTAGACTAGAGATACAAAAGACTTGTACAAAGAAAACTACAAAACACTACTGCAGGAAAAAGTAATATCCCTAACTAAATGGGAAAACGTTCCTTTTTCATGGATAGGAACAGTCAATATAGTGAAAATTACAATCCTATCAAAAGCTGTCTGCCTGTTCTATGCAATCCCAGTACAGATACCAAATTCATTTTTCAAAGAGAAAGATTAGAGAATAGGCAAGTTCATTTTGAAAGGAAAGAGACCTCAACTAAGCAAATCACTTCTGAGAAACAAAAATGAAGTGGGGGGCATAGCAGCCCCTGATCTTAAAACCTACTATATAGCTGTAATAATCAAAACAACATATACTGATACAATGACAGACACATAGACAAATGGTACAGAATTGAGAACCCAGAAATTAATATACAGTCAACTGGTACTCAACACAGAAATAAAACCTATCAGTTGGGTAAATGGCAACATCTTCAACAGATGGTACTGACAAAAATGGACTTATGCCTGCAGAAAGCTGAAGCAGGATCTACATTTCATACCATACACAAAAATCAACTCAAGAAGGATCAGAGACCTAGGAGTAAAACCCGAAACTGTAAAAATCATAAGAGACAAAATGGGATGAAACTTAGGAGGCCTAGCCTATGATATAAAGAGTCTGGCAAGAACAGCCAGAAATGCACAACCAGGAGAGAATAACATTGATGAATGGGACCAGCCTGCTAAAGAGTAAACTTCTGGGTACATCAAAAACTTTTTCAATAGTGTGAAAAGAAATGCAATGGTCTGGGTGGGGGAAAAACAAAACACAAACAAAAAAAATTGCCAATGACATCTCAGAAAAGGGTTTTATAATAAACATGTACAGAATCTATAGGGCAACCACAAAAAAAATGAAAAAAGAAAAAAAAGTCTGATAACCCAATTACAAAATAGGCAAAAGATATGGAAAGAGCTTTCACAGAAGAAGACACTTAGATGGCCAACAGACACATGAAGAAATATTCACAATCATTGGCAATGAGAGATGATAATTAAAACACTACTACACTAAGGAAAAGAAGATGAAGAGACAAGGGCCTTCTGCCAGAGCAACAGTGAGAGAAAGTTCTCTCCTAGAGACGGTGTCCTGAATTCAGATTTCTAGACTTTAACCTTGTTGTTGTTATGTGCCGTCTAATGGCCTATGGCTAATAGTACAACAGCCCTAAACCCTGCTCTATCCTGTGCCAATCTCATTGTCTCTAACATATTTATCCCTAATACCGCAGTCACCGAATAAATCCATTTCATCGAGGGTCTTGCTCTCCTGTGCTGTCCCTCCTCCCTCCCAAGCATGATGTCCCTCTCCAAGGACTGGTCCCTCCTTGCAACATGTCCAAAGTATTTCAGACGAAGCTTCATAATCCTTGCCTCCAAGGAGCAGCCTGATGTCACCCTCTCGAGGATAAGCCCATTTGTTCTCCTAGCAGTCAATGGTATCTTTAATACTCTTCTCCAGAACTACAGTTCAAAGTCATCAATTCTCCTTCTAATCTCCCTAGTCATTGTCCAGCTTTCTGATGCATAACAAGTAATTGCAAAGTCTATGGCCTGAAGGAAATATAACCTATGAGAAAATAAATTTCTCCTTCTTAAAAGTAAAAAGAAAAAACAAAAACAAACAACAAGCAAACAAAAAACCACTCTCCACTGGAGACAGTGGAGAGATTGGAACTCTCATACACTCTTGGTGGGATTGAAAAATGGAACCACCACTCTGGAAGGCAGTATGGTGTGTTCTCAAAAAGGTGAATATAGAGATTCTATATGACTAAGCTATACTACTGCTAGGAATATATCTCAATGAAAACAAAAGTGAGATACAGAGATTTATACATCAATGTTTATGGCAGCATTATTCTCAACAGCAAGCACATGGAAATAGCCCAAATGTCCATAAACAAATGACTGGATTGAGAAATTGTGGTACACTCACATGATGGAATATTATGTGGCACTCAGGAGCAACAATTTTGAAAAATACTATATAACATGGAAGAGTCTGAAGAGCCTTATGCTGAATGAACTAACTCAGGTGCATAAGAACAAATACTGTATAGGCCCGTTATTTTAAAATCAGAAGGATAGTGAGGAAGAAGTGAGATTTGTATGGACATACAAAGAAGGGGAATGATGTGGGAGAGGGGCTTGGGTGGGAGATGGAAAACCATGGGTGGAGGGAGGGAGCAGGGAAAAAAATGTACATGAATGAAGCATAATGAAAAAACAAAAGAAAGAAAGAAAGAAAAACAAAAGCAAAACATGGTTTCCAAATTTTTTACATTCCTCCCAACCAAGCAGTGAAATTCTCTTGCATCTGGGTTCCTGGGCCTCTGTGACTACTTGAACAAGAGTATATGGTAGAAATTATGTTGTGTCAGTTTCTAGGTTCAGCTTTCAAAAAAAAAAAAAAAAAAAGAACTGACATTTTCTCCTTTAGGTGTCTTGGTATATTCACTCTTAAGACTTAGTCACCATGATGTGTGGAGGCCCCACCCACCCTGTGGGGAAACGTACACAGAGAGAACTGTGAACATGAGGCCGCCACACGGGAGTGCTATTTGGGGTGTGTATCCCTGAGTTCCAGGGGAGCCTCATCAGGTGATAATGTACAGAGCAGCCATGAGCTATCTCCCTCAAGCTCTGATCACATTTTCGATTCACAAATAAAACAAGTGGTTGTTCTTGTGTTAAGACAATCATTGGAGTGGTTTGTTATGCAGTCAGCCACAAACAAAATACCCAATTTAGAACAATGGGAAAGGTTTCCATGTAGAAGAGACTCTTCCCCACCCATTCCTCTTCTCACCTGGCCGATGTGCCTTTGGAACCGCCATATTCATCACTCTTCCTCCATCCTGAGGTTTAGGGGGTGATGCAGTGAACCTGCAGATCCCCGATTCTGAAGGGGTGCTGGAGGTCAGACTGTCTGTGTATTCATTAGTCCCTGCCGTCAACTGTTCGGATGAAGTGTCCGATATGAAGCACTCTGTGATGGTGAATTTGGCGTGCCTCAATTGTTCTTCCATCTTGGCATGCTCATAGGCCCTGGCAAGTTCTTCATAAGTGGAGGAGGCACTTTCTGTGGAGACCATGCTGCTTCTTGCTCGATCTACATAACAAGAAAGAGAAAAGAAGATGGATGACCCTTGTCCCTGATTGTTTGAATCAACTGAATTGTCCTTTCTGGTTTCTGGCTATTTCTTTCAGATCACAGTTTTCCAGGAGTCTTTACTCTCTGATCAGTGGAATCTTGTCTCTGCCACTCACAGACTGGCTTTGTAAACCACAGGTGGCATGGGCCTGGGGAAACATCTTAAAAGGTTTCTATCAAATTCTGAAGTCAAATATCTCTAGCTTAGAACATTTCCTAAACACATCCTTCAACCAAAAAAGTTTCATTTTTTTCATTTTATTCAAACAATGAGGAATGATGTAAAATGAACTACAGTGCCCACCCGCATGTAATCTGCAAATCGATGGGTACTGCAGAGACTGTTTAACTGGCATGAATGATTTGAGCTCTATGGTTTAGCTTCCTGGGCCTCAGGCTAAAGGAAATAAGCCATAACAATGGTGAGAATGAAGATGTGACTTTGCATGCAAATTTCTCCCAAGGCAGAATGGTCCCTCATGCCTGGGAATCTTCTCCTGTTTTTCTAGATGTGTCACTGGTGGTGGTGGTGGTGGGGGGCTGTGGGGAGGAGGTAGAAAATAACCCAAACAGGTGCATAGGTGTTTTTTTCCCTGAGCAGTGTTTTTCTGCTCAGGGGCAGCTCTGCAGTTGAAGCCCACAAAAAAGTTCTGAACTCACCTCAGTAAAACCCTGAGACTCTGAAGAAGATTTAACAGCCATAAAAATAAATTTACACCGTGACGTCCCACTTTGGGAACACTATTTTTGAAGTATATCATCAAGAACAAAAGAAAAATGAGTATTCAAATTTCCTACAGCTATTAGGTTCAGATGTAATTTCTTTTCAAACTTTTAAGGAGGGGGGGCAATGCAGTGCTATTCTTAGATCTTATCTTTTCTCAGGAGTGAAACCTTGGTGGTTGATGGCAGAGACTAGATGACTTACCTTATAATCAACCTCTGTTTAATTGTCAAACTGATCAGCCTGCATTCTCTATAGAAGGAGCATTGACCTTGTCATATAACTTCAAGTGCAATATTTAATCTTGGAGATGACAGTGGGCTATACTCCCTCTGAGGATAACCAGGCATTAATGCAGTTGAACAGGTGAAGATTTAAAATTTCCCCTTTTCTCCCAGTGGGGTAGAAACAAAAAGCAGAAAGTAACTTGGACTTGCCATTCAAGAGACTCGCAAACCAGATACGTTGGGCTCTGTTTTGCACAATTTTAGATGTAAATGCTGTCCAGTGGTGTCGGTAACTCTCAGATAAATTGCTCAATCCTCTGAAAACAAATTTAATAAAACCAAAACCAAACCCATCCTTGTCAAGTACTTTCCAAACTCATGGCAACATGTATGTCAGGGTATAGATTTGAACCTCTATCTTCTAGTTGACAGCCTGGGGCTTAACTATTTATACCACCCAGAAACTCCAACCTTTAAGAGAGTAAGTTAAATAAAAACTAGTACTCCCTTCTCTTCTCTGTAAAGAGCCTACAAAGTTCACGGTATGGGCAACTGCAAGGTTTGGGTCATGCAGGGCCATACCTGTGTCCTGGGAGGGGCTGACGCTGTAGCTGTCACTCTCCTTGTCCACTGACCCTGCAGCCCTGGGTGTCGGCAGCCTCCAGTCTGTGGTGAGAGTGTGTGCTGAAATGGTGGGGTGGGGTCTGTTGAGTGTCCACTGGCTGGCGTACCGGTTTCTTGCTGTTGGTCCAGCCTTTGCATTCCTCCTGGTGGTTGGATCTGGGAAGAGTCAAGACGAAAGTTTGTCTCTTGTCTCTTGATGCACATAGTCAGTTGTGATTATAGTTATAGTGTTGAGGTGAGCTGTACATACCTGAGTAGAGTTCTCTCAGCCAACCAACCACACTAATCCATCCTCCAGGGCCTACTCCCCCAGGAGACCCTCCCTGATTCTCCTGCCCAGAGCCCCCTTTACCTCTCATTTACCGTATAAAACATTCATCTGACATTTGTTGTTAGTTGTTGTCCAGTCACCTTCACCTCACGATGACTTTTCATATAGCAGAGAGGAACATTTTTCTAGTTCATTATCTTTGCATTACTAGTGTATCTGAGCCCACTCTTGCAGCTATGTGCACACATCTCTGATTGTACACCATGCACTATGAACCTACTGTGTCAATTCATCACATGGGGGACTTGCCTCATTTTCATTGACCTTTATTTTACTAAGTAATTGTCTTTTCTCTAGCAATTTGATCAGATTCTTAAGGATTAAAAACATACTATAAGGGAAAGAAAGACTATGACATTTGGACTAAGAATGTGCACGTCTGAGCCTTGCTCTTGGACCTTAATGATATCATGACCTACAGTGCATCATCTAAGCTCCCTGAGTATCTCTGTACTTGTAAAATGAGTCAGCTCAACCAAACATATTCTAATGTGTCAGCTCAATCAAATATATTCTAATGTATGTACTTTCTAAACTTCTTCCACCTTGAGATGCTCACTCTACTATGGTCTCACAGTTACCATATCAAACTAAACAAATCCAGTTGCTGTGTGGCTGGACTCCTGACGTTCCTATGTGCAGCAGAAGAGAATTCCATAGGTCTTCAAGGTAAGCTCATTGTCCAATGTGCCTTTAACATTTCAGTTAAAAGATGACCTCTTACTTTATGCAGCTGAGGACTTCCTTTGTCTCAAAGATGACATCTTTGGAACGGGAACAAATACAGACCTCTTCCAGTCAGTTGGCCAAGTGGTTGTCCTCTAGATTTCTTGACACAACTTGGTGAGCACATATAGGGTAGCATCTGTTAGTTGAAATACGTCAATTGGTATACCATCAATTCCTGGGGGCTTATTTTTTGTCAATTCCTTCAAAACAGCTTGAACTTCTTCCTTCACCACCATACACTTTTGCTCATATTGTTTCATGATATTCTTCTGTGTCTGCCAATTCCTTTCGGTACAGTAATTCTGTATACTCTTTCCATCTTCTTTTAATACTTCCTGGATCATTTAATATTTTGCCCAAAGTCTAGCATTTTCAGAATCACAAAGGTTTATATAAATATTTTCTGGTGCTCAGTAGGTTTTCCAAGAGTCTGGAGCCAAAGGCTCCAAATTGTTATGATAAACTGGGTTCTTTGCTTATCTCTTGTGTGAAATAAGAAAAAAAAATTTCCTTTGACAGTGATAAAAGTAGGACATTGGGATAGGTCACTACACTGCTTTTCTGGAACTCTGTGGAAAAGTGGGGAAGCTCAATTTTTAGGACTGGTTTTTTTGGGGGTTTTTTTTTGGCTTTCAACTTAAAATGTCTAAGTTCCTCTGGATGGACAATTTCTACATATTCTGTTTTTCAGAAGAATCTTATGCAGGTATATTTCAAAATGTCCTCACTACTTCTCAGTGTAGTTGTACTGATTCTCGGGATATATGCTTACAATATAGTGACCCTAAATCACATGTGGTATGTGTGAAATATGTTGTGTGTGACTCAAACATTTCAACCAAGTAGTAAAGAATGTAAACTGACAAATAATGGCTCCAACATAAGTAATATCTGATCTTATCAGCTATTACCTTTCAGTTGTAGACCTCAGCTTTGTTGTTATGTAATGTGGCACAGTACTGAGTTAATCTATTTTCAAACTAACTAACTAACAACTCTGCATGTGTATCCTTAAATATTATTATATAGCATGCATGACCCTGATGCAAAATTACTTATAATGTCTCTTATAAGATATTAATCATCCAAGCAAAGAAAATTAGAACACAAAGAAATGCTGGGCTTTTGCTTTTCCAATGAATGCAAGGTAGTACCAGAATGCCACTGTCAATTAAGTGTTTGAGTGGATCCTTTTGCAAGACTGAAGCTCTGCCATAGGTTCTACTGTCATCTACCCACCTTCTTTGATTTGGTCACAACAAAGGACCTCTATCAAGGATAGGCATAGTCAAGCATCCCTCCTGAGACCTTTCATTAAAAGTAGAAGCCTAAAGGCTGAAGATTTGGACATTTAAACTAAATCTTACCACAATTTTTCAGGTCTAACTGAGTATCTTGGGGTCTCCTCTGTGTGCTGTGACATGACTACCTTACAGAAAATTCCATGAGCCTATCCTGATGGGCCAGACCCTTTCTCTGTTTATGTTAAAATAAAATCTCCTGAGCCATCTGCTCAACAAAAATGATGCCGTGTCAAAAGCAGAGATCTAAGAGGGGCCAGCCCATAAGATTGTATTGACTTCTGTGTGCTTTTAAGGGCCTCAAAGTGTCTCCAGGGCAGGTCAGGCCTGCTCATATTTGGACACACCCACTGAACGTATTAACATTTCTGGGATAAACAACTTCAGGAAAGAACAGATACAGCCCAAGGTCACTTTATGGATGAGGCAATGGAAACTCAGAAAGAAAAATGACACAGCTTTTAAGTGATAAAATGGAGCTCAATGGAACCCACTGACTGAGTTCAGGGATTGCCAGCTATTTGACCTATATGTGTCCTCATGCTGGGTCATGTGCATTTCTTAGTACAGCGTCTGCATGACACTAGCTCATTTATAATTCCACTGGTACATCAGAGGCTGACACAGGTTAAGGTGAAATGACTTTCTTTTTAAATAAAGGATTTTTCTTTCTGCAAGTTTCTAGCTATTGGACTTTGAACATAATCCATCATTCTATGATGCTGGAGACAAGCTTTTTGATGACAGCCAGATCAATGCATTTTGAGATATCCTGGGTAATCACAGAACTCAGACTTGGAGTATATTCTCTGCAGCATTGATTTTAAGGCAGATTTCATCCCATACTTACAAGATTTTACAGAAAAAATTTTATGGGGAGTTTTTTTTCACCCCCTCCTTGATTAGAATGTAAATGAGTTATGCTAGAGTGCCAAGCTCTTTAGACAACAAGGTGTGAATGATAATTGCATCTCACCACTGAAGCTAAAGGAAAGGTCCTCAAAGTGATAGAAAAACATTATCATGGGTAGGAGGCAAATGTCTTCCAGGCACTATTGACTTGATAAGTGGAGCTTAAACAAGTAGAGCTTGTTATTTAAATGCTAATGAATCTTTTCCAGAAAATTACCCAGCTCCTTGCATGAGTATCAAGGGTTCTCATTTTTATTCTTCTTCAAGTTTCTTGTAACTACGGTAGGCTTATTGGTAGTAAGGGTGTTTGGAAGGGCAGCTCCACAGTAATCGTCTGGTAAATTCCAGAAATATACTCAGACTTAGGCATAAATAATAAGCATTCTCATTTTTATCACTTGGAAGTAAGGTCTAGGGATCCACAGCTGAAAAGTTAGAACCCTGAAAATCCCCTCGAGCAGCCCAGCCTCACACATGGCACAGCCAGGAGTCAAAATCAACCGGATGGCATGTAGCAGCATTTCTGGTCTTGAAGATACTGTAATGGCTGTGGATCATTCTGAGCTACTTTCCTCTTGCTCACGATTATCACTGGAGGGGAGTTCCACAGGTCCATCTCAAGGACACACTTTCCTCACAGGCCCAAATTCCTCACGGAGCAGTGATCATGACCACCATCCCCCCTTTTCTCACTGGGATCCTTCCACTGGGAAAATTGCAGGGTGAGGCTGCATGTGTCAGCTGCTATTCAAAGCTAGAACTCAGTCTGAGTTAATTTTGTTCATTATCCCTCTTTTCTGGATAAAGAGAGCTTTGCCAGTGACCTGATAATGTTGAAAATATAGGTCATGATATTAGCTTCCTTAAACCACAGCCTACAGTTCTGTTCTGCTCGAAGCCAACATCCTAGAAGGGAGGTTGTTTCTCTATGTAGAATAGTGGGTCACTTGGTACCTTGTTTGTTTGGTTTTTTTCTTAGTAATCAAGATTTTGGAGCCTTTGTTTTGTCCCTGAACTGTTCTGTATGATAGGTCCTGGAATAATAGCTAATATAAAAATTTTTGCTTTGATTCCACTCAGTAACCTCCTTTGTATAACTTACTAGCTAATCTGTAAAGGAGATAAATGTAGGGATTTGCTGCCTCGGCATGGAAAGTATTTTGCTTGGCTCCCTAACATTCTAATATAAATAAAAGTTAGCAAAGAGGCATAATGCCTGCTAAACAGCCAATGAGTTATAGGGTATGTAATATAAATAGCTCTCGGCCTCTTAACAATGGGTCTGAATCTGAATTAAGCCTCTGCCCATGGAATCAAATTAATTACCCTGAATTTGGGAGAAGATTTGTGGATAATAGGGTTATAAAATATGTCATGTGCACTGGTCCTGTGACCCTGATAGTAGCTTGCCTTTCCCCGCTCCCTGCCTAGGTATTGCTTTCTATGTAGATGCTGAGATTTCAGCTTTTGGTGATGATAGGACCAGGTGTCTCATAGAGACAACAAAGCTGGTAGATTTGGTCATTGCTATTATTTAACTGAGAAATATTTATTCAGAAATTATGCACTAAATCTCTTCAATCATATCATCTGCTTCCCCAAATACCACTCTCAGATTCTTTCTGAATCAGAGGTAATTCAGTAATTTCAACCAGAAAGACGGATTTCATTTTGTAAGCCCTTCTTATTTAAAAAAACATTCAAAATCCATTCTTGAGTCTCTCAAAGGTACAGTTTCCTGGGTGCCACTGGCCAATAACTGAAGCTGATGTTGTACTAGTTTCCTTCCTCTTGACCCTGGACCCTGGGAGAAGATTCATGAGCTTGAGCACCTGGACACACGGAGGGTGCAACCCTGGAACCCTGCCCATTGTTTTAGAAAGAGGCACATTCAGCAAGGGAGGAATCACTCTCTGAGCTTATTGGGAAAATGTAGGTCAAGAGATTTGGTGAATTGATCAGAAAGGCTAGAAAATCACGTTAGAGGAGTTGACAGAAAAATACCCATGGAAAATCCTAAAACTAGAACCTGGGAGCTCATGAGATACAGAAAGAAGCTGAATACAAGAGTTAGTATGGGGGAAAAGCTGTGTTCTACCCTTTTCCCAGTCTCATGCTTGGTAATTGCTCTTTGAATGAATAAGTGATCAATGAATGGATCATTCCTAGGTTAACACAGCAAAAACAATAACAACTCCACAGGTCAATGCTAATAATATTTTACATGTCTTCACATCTTTTCAGATTTGAGAAGAAAAACATTGAGTTAAGTTCTCACTGGGAATGATTTCTTTGGTATCTGCAAAGTGTTATGGGACAAAATTATGCACATATTAAAAGACTCATCTAACTAGATAAAAACATACACATACACTTAGATGATTAGAGGTGGTGTAGAGCAAAGACAGGGGTATTAAATTAATTACTCAAGATCTGTTTGAGCAACTAAACATCCTTTCTTTTCCTTCCCCATTATTTTATCTTTGCAATTTGATTAATTGATCAATATTTCAAATATATTCATTAAATATCTACTATGTGTCACTGTAGCCCAGGTGCAGAACAAAATAGGGTCTTAGCTTTTGAGACTACTGCAATCCCATAGGAAAGGTAAAGAAGTAAACTGAGGGATATAAAGTCAAGTGATACACCCATCAAAAGAGACAATTAGCATAGTGTTCCAATGTCTCCTGTCTCCATACTAAGAATTTATTTCAACTCCACTGCTAGAATATAAAATGGCTAGAAACATAACTTCTACACTCCACTCATTCTAGTGTGCAAACAAGGTAATTATACGTTTTTCTTTCAACAATTAATTCCTATCATGACACACAGCCTTCATACAATTCAAGTAATATTTTTAGGTGAGGAAATCTAAGACATAAATATGAATGTATGCAAATATGCCAAGCAACAGTGAAAATAAAGATGAATTTATCTCATCAGATTAGTCTGAAAGAGAAGCATTTCCTCATGGAGGTGACCATTCTTGGGGTAGAAGAAGAAATCAGCCAGTTGGGCTTAGAAAGTGCATGCTTTCAAACGCATGTGACAATGTTTCCAAGTCTACATAAAGATGGAATGCATTTTGTCTCTAAGACTATGGCTTTGGGAAATAGCTAATGAAACACTCTATACAGAGGTCTCTTACTAATACAGTGTGTTCTGTGGCTGATAAATGCTTTTACAATTCTTTGAACCAGAGATTGATGCATAAGTTAAGAATAGATCTGCTTAGCATGAATAAACATTATTGAATGAAGTTCATTACCAATAAAAGGAACATTGTTCTGTAATATTACTTCATTGTGATATGATCATAAAGATCAGGGTATGCATCCCAGCTCGTCCCTTCCAATTTCCCTGGGGCTCACTGCATTCCAGGTGAGTCCTGACTACAACATGCTGGGCAGTCTTAGGAGATTGGGCTTAACTGCTCCCTCTGCCTGATGAGTGGTTCCTTGATGTCATTTTGATCTTGGTTCATGTCTTCTTCTCAACAGAGAGGTTCTCTAGAATGACCTAGATAGAAAGTCATTCCTTGCTCCCCACCATTTCCACTCCCCCAATGACTCACCATCAAGTATGTCTTGTTTCATTTTCTTAGTACTAACTGAGCAATGTAAAATGATTTATTTACTTGTTCATTGTCTGAGGAGAGACTGAATATCCCCATAGAGAATGGCCAGGCCCTATATAAAATACAATTCTGATAGACAACCTGGAGCTACCAGCCAGGAATTAAAACCAATATGTCTGCAGCTACCAGCCAGAGGACAAATGACAGTACCCATAACACTAGGCAACAAATGTCCAGAACCTGGTTAATAACGAACAGTTTCTTCACTTTCCACTCCCCATGTCCCATATGACCCAACTGGAAAAGTCAAGTATGCTCCCCACGGAATACTTTCGTCTAGTTAGAATGTCTCCAGCTTCCTTCAACAGTCTCCAGTCAAACACAGCTGAAGCCTTGCCTCTTCTTCCACCATAAAACTTTCTTTTGTGTGTGTGTGTTTAAAATTTTATTATTTTTGTGTGAGTGTACCATCAAATCAGATCTGACAGGTACAGGAGGAGACTGCCCCTCCTTCCCCGGCAAAGCATCTGGTGGATTCGAACCGTGCGACTCTGGGATTGTAGTTGCAGCTCCTTGCCACTAGGCCACCAGAGCTCCCCTTTAAATTATTTTTATTTTAGTGTGTGTGTGTGTGTGTGTGTGTGTGTGTGTGTGTGTTGTGTTGTGTGTGTGTGTGTGCTGTCAGATCAGATCTGACTGGTACAGGAGGAGATTGCTCCTCCTTCTCCAGCAGAGTATCTGGTGGATTTGCACCGTGCACCTCTGGGATTGCAGTACACCTTCTTGCCACTAGGCCACCAGAGCTTGCCCATAAAACTTTCTTACTTGTTTATCTGCCTTTGAGTCACTGTGAAATGCGAGTGATGGTGGCTGAGACCCTGGTTATAAAGCAAGGTCTGAATAAGTAGGCTTTCTTTGTTCTCATTTGGAGGGAGGGTTTCTCCCATGAGGAAGACATGAATGTCTCATAGTACTTTACTCATGAAGCACTCCAGCACTGAGCATTGGGCTGTAGTAGAGTATATCTGTGGTAAATATTGTTTGATGTTGAATATGTCTATTCTCAGCGTCCTCCAAACACACTTGCAATGTGATAGCTATGGGATCTATGCCTCTCAGCACAGACTCATATCAATGCCTCTGTTAGGATGTTGATTGTCATGAAATCAATGTCCTCGTTGTCTTGGGTCTCGTTTTGTAGTTAGAAGAGTCTCTGTGCTTTAGTCTCATGGCCTCCTCTTCCATCTGAATTAGCCTTATCCATTTCCATGCTAACTAAACATTGAAAGAGAGGTGGAAAACAATATTATTGGGGTTTTTTTGTTTGTTTGTTTGTTTTGTAAGCTGGCTGATGTTGATCTGCAGATTTGATAAGCATGAAGGACATACCAATGCACAGGGGCAGGGGTGACATAAACATTTCTGATTATGTTACTCCCAAGCTGAACCATCTCAGGGAGGCCTTTCCCAATGAAGGATAGAGAGACACCAGCTTGTTACAATGCAGATTCGTGAGCCCACCTCTGGACCAACTAGATCAGAATATCTGACGATGGACTCCTGGGATCTGTATTTGATCCCTGGTGATTCTGATGCTCATAAATAGTTGGTTACCATTGCTGGTGTGACAGGCATCTGTTCTGTGTTCTCTGTCTCTTTCCCCTTCTCCTGTCACTTAAAAAAAAATCTCCAGGCTGAATGAGCTGGAGGACTGCTCAAGCCAATGAGCTGTCCATTTAAATGTCCAGCCCCTTCAGGCTCTAAAAGCTTCCCTTGATGCAAGAGCAAGAGAGGCTTAGAGACCCATCAAAGCAGAGTTTGAAGTGCCAGAAGCCATGCCAGACAGATCATAATGAAAATGCCAGTAACTAAAAAGAATGTTAAGGACCTCAGAGATTTTAAGAGCTGGGCTCTCATTTACACCCTTTGGCAAATCAAATTGTCACTCATGCCCTGTTCAGGACTCCAGAATGTGTTAATGGCATCAAAGAAGGAAAGGAGGAAGATGTAGGGAGGAAAAAATAACAGCCTTTTAGTATACTCCTTAAAACATTTTTCCAAGTGAATTTCAATAATTATCCTGTTTTCTGCATAGTTCAAAGTTATTTGATAACAAACCAGGGTTCCTTAATGAAGTTCAGTGCATTTGACAAAGCTTCACGAATTAGAGGGAATTTATAAAGAATAGCTTTCAACAGTATAATATTTCTATTTATTTGACTAATTATAGCATACTGCTCTAAGAATGTAAATTTTTTTCAGAGTGATTAGATTTAAAAGACTAACATCAAAGCTTTCAGAATGATAATAATCGGGACATCAATTTCTCAGTCTTTAAAGAGATTTAGGAACAATTTCAATTATGGAGAAATAAAACTATCTAATTAATAAGCTCTAGATACAGATTAGAGAATTTCATTTCACTGAAGTAATTAATTTCCATGTATTACAGATGCAAATATTAATAATTAAGCCCAACATAATTCCCGGATTAACCAGGGCTAGAATGTTTCTCCAACAGTGTGTTCAGGAGAGAAACATAAGCTTTGAGGACAGAGTGGGCTAACTCTTGGTTTTAGTACTTAATATGTGTACACATTTGGATTGTTTACCCAAGAATCAGTTTTCTCATGTGTAAAATAGTGGTTATAAAACCTGCTTTACTCTAAGTGCCTGTTAAGGTGGCTGTAATGATAATAAATGTGACAGCAACTTTCTAGCTTGACCCTGTCATGCAGTAGGCAAACAACTAGTGTTAATCACCCTCCCTTCTTGTGTGTTGTCTAAATAATTTTTTTAAAAAAATATTAGGTTATGCTGAAACATATAATTTTCCATAGCAAATCAATACAAAAAAGTATTTGCTTCAATGGTCACACTTTTGCTTCTTATTAAAAGCACACTGGATAACCTAAATAAATATGCTACTGTACCCATGTGTTTCTTGGGCACAGGCTTGAAAGGCTCCAATGTTTCACTGGCTAGGGAAAGGCCACCACATTTTCACCACCGACAGCACCCACATGGTTGTTAAGTGTGACAGGTCACTCACTCGTTCCTGGGCGAGCATCCGAGACATCCACCAGTGGCCCCGTGGCCTGGGACACTGACTGGTAGTGGACGGTGTGGGTCACTGTCAGTGACTTCTGTTTAGCTGCCTCTCCAAAGTCGGCATCAGTCAACAAGACTGTTGAACGGTCATCTACAAAACAGCAGAGACACAGAAAATCAAATCATTTTATTCCTCTTTGTTTTCATACCAAATGATTTTTGTGGGGAAACAAAACCAACAAGTTAGTCTCTTTTTTCACTTCTTAGGAATTTCTACTATTAATGATAATAATAACACTTTGTTACATATGCTACTGTAGAGTTGGGCCTCATTCCTAGAAACCCCATCTACAGTGAAATGAAACACTGCCTGACCCTATAGTATTCCCCTGATCATTTGTGAGTTGGACCATTGTGCTCCATCACATTTTCATTGGCTGATGTATAGAAAGGAATCACCAGACATTTCTTCCTAATCTGTCTCAATCTGAAAGCTTGGGTGAAACTTTTCCAGTATCATAGCAACACTCAAGCCTCTACTGACAGACAAGTGATGGTTGTGCATGAGGTACCCTGACTAGAAATCAAACTTGAGTTTCATGCACGGACAGGAGAATTAGGCCACTGAGCCACTAGGGCCCCCATATTGATAATATTAACAACAATAACTTCTTATAAAGTAACAAACCAAGTAACATTCAAACCCTGTTGACTTTTGGAGCATGAGTAAAAGAAATGATTGATATAAAGAGTGGATCCTTGCAGTATACATTATTGAACCCATCTTACTCAGTCTCTCCCCAACCCCAAGGACAGTACCATTCTACAACAGTGGCATCATGTAATATTTGTCCTTTTGTGACTGGGATATTTCACTCAGCATAATGTTCTCCAGAGTCAACCATTTTGAATAATATTGCATGAGTTCCTTGTTTTTTAATGCAGCATAGTATTCCATTGTGCGAATATACCACAGCTTCTCTAGCCATTCGTTTGTTGATGGGCACTTAGGTTGTTTCCAACTCCTTGCTATTGTGAACAAAGCTGCAGTAAGATGGGTTCAATAATGTATACTGCACTGAAACAGAGGAGGGAGAAAACTGTTTAAAAGAGATATATAACTAGGTATTTCTGTCATCACAGGAGACTAGAGCGAGGGCTACATGGTGGAGGGGACCTGGGGGAGGGTTTGTAAAACAATGAAAGAATCTTTTCTTTTACTTTTCCATAATTTTTGACTCATGTACTTATAACTTGTTAGTCAAATTTGTGTCTTCTAGGTTGCAACACCCCCATGATACATCTTCAAGGATATGAACATGTACGACGGTCAAGCACAATCAATAAGAGTGCATCTAAATTCCAAAATCAATCTCCATAATAGTCTATGTGTTTCCTACTGCCAAAGGGGCCCTTTAGAGTAGTGAGAGAAGATCTTCACCCTGAAACCCACAGCGTCCCTTTTCAGCAGGAAGTAGCTAAGAGAATACGCCATCCCCTTTTCCTTATGACTCAGGGTGAAGTCTCTCTCAGGGAGGAGTGATAGGGAATGGCAAAGGACACACTGACAAAGAAGATTAATCAGAACTGGCTTTGACAAGCACTGTGGCATTTGGACAAGAACAAACTGGGAGGAGGGTAGAGAGAATAGTGCAACAATGAATGAATGGAAACCCAAAATCTCTGTAAATGTTTATGAAAATTAATAAAATATAATTATAGAAAAAAAATAAAGAGTGGATCCTTTCACTGCCTTGCTTGATTTTTGTTTGTTTCCATTAAGCTTCCCATTTAACACTGTTTTAGATTCATATATTTTCTAAGTTTATATAAGACATTGTTAGCAATGTAACCTCACGCATCCATTACAGGATTATCACTTTAAATAGGTTCCTTTGATTGCTGAGGGCTCTGTCTTGTTTTTATGTGCTGTTGATTTGGGAACCAACTCATAGCTGACCTCCCTCCCAACCATGGTGGGAGATTATTTTTCTACCATAGGATTTAAACTGCCTGTCTCAGCAGAACAACTCCTTACCCACTAGGCTACCAGAAATCTCTGAGGGTACTGAAATATTAGAAAAAGACAATACTGTGTTTCCAGCCTGTGTACAGGAATCTTTGGTAGCCTAGTGGCACACATACACACACACACACACACACACACACACACACACATTTGTCACTGTGTCTCAATACCTCTAGATATCTCTGTATGTCTTTCTCTTTCTAGATAGATAGATAGATAGATAGATAGATAGACAGAGATAAATAGATAGATAGATAGATAGATAGATGATAGATAGATAGATGATTGATAGATAGACAGATAGAGATAGACAGACAGAGATATAGATAGAGAGACATATAGGTGTGTACGTATGTATAGAGATCTAGATATACTGGTTGCTGCAAATTCAATGGCAGCTCATGGCAACTATACTTGTGCTACAGTAGAACTGTGCTCCATAGTGTTTTCAAATCCTGATTTTCTAGCCGAACATTCAGCCTTTCTTCTGAGGTGCCCCTGGGTGTATCTGAAAGTTGTTGATATTGTTATGTGCTGTCGAGTCACCTGCAACTCATAGTGACCCTGTGTACAACAACCCTAAACCCTGCTCTATCCTTTGCCAATCTCACTGCCTCCAACACACCTACCCCCACTACCCCAATACAGGAATTACAATCTTTTTAATTAGTAGCCAAGTGATTCATAAATTCTCTATTTGGGGCTTGGGGTCACACTAAACTTGGTAAATGTTTTGAGGTTAAAAGGAGGAGAAAAGGCAGTCTTGGACTTTAGTGATTCCTTATTTTAAAGGATTTGAGGAATGCTCCTCTTCTGCACACCTCTTTTGAGCTTTAATTACTCTAAGCTCCTTTAACTAACTTCTATAGTGACTCACTTGTCAGACTTTTGAAGTCCTGCTGCGGTAGGCAGCTGAAGGTTAGACAGGGTAGAGCCAGATTTCAGATTAACTGTGAACATTTTAGTGCTCGAGAGGCTGTGTTTGTGTGTGTGCATGTGACTCTGAGGGAAAAGTAGATTTTAATTTTTCAAGGACTGCAGCCCAGATGATGCTCACATGAATCTATCAGTCAGCCAGGACCAAGTTCCACTTTGCTATGATACTACATTGATCTGAAAAGTCATCACAACAGCAGCGTTAGACTGTTGTGCCCAAAAAAGGCACTGAACAGAGTGAACCTTACAAAATCCAATTACTCAGTCTCTGGCAGGCAAGGAAAACCTCTTGAAGTTAGAATAAAAATTTCTTGGCAGAGAAACAGAGGGAAGCCTGCCAGAGTGGCTCCTACAGTCTGGCAGGGTGCAGTGCGGCAGCTGCTACGGGCAGCTCTTGGGCTCTTCAGCAGACCCCTACCCCAAATCCCCTTTCTACATACAGGCCCTCAGGTGGTGCAAAAATAGTTCATGCTCAGAAATCAACCCAAAGGTTTGTACCCACCCAGTGGCACAACCGAAGACCTAGAGATCTGCTTCAGTAAAGATTCAGTCAGATGACCACCAAGAAAACCCTATGGAAAACCTTATGTTCTGCTCTGAGCCATATGTGGTCACCATGCCTGGGAATGGGCTTGAGGACAACAGGTTTTCTACAGACACATTTTCTTACAACAGGAGCTGGTTCCCAGGCTGTGGTCTATGCTCACTCTTGGTTACTAACGCTGACGTGCTGCACGTTCGAATGCACCCTCCTGCTGACAGCATTCCAGGCTATCTGCAGGGCAGGGTTGTAAACTTTTAATGGGAAATTTCAGGTGCCTGTCAGGCGTCAAGTTAACCATTTGTTCAAGCTAAAAATTAATGGCACTAGAATATTGGATTCTTCTTGTCAGAGCCGAGAGCATTTTAAAGCATCACATTTCTACTTCCCCAATAATTAGGAAATGCCATCGACCACCTGTCAGGCATCACCAGGAGGTAAATGACTCTTGGTGATAGATGATCCTGTGTAAAAGATGATGTATCTCTCCCTAAGGGTCATTATTACTTAGAGAAATGATGGGCAGACATTTCTCAGCTGTTAACTCAGCAAAGGCTAGCTAGCTATTAGGAGACAGAGGTCCCTCTAAATCTCTATTAACAGTCATATGCATGTGTTTTAAGAAGTCTAGTGAGAAATACTTCTTGTTGTTAGGTGCTGTTGGATCAACTCTGACTCAAAGTGACCCTAGGAACAAAAGACCTGAACCCTATCTTATCCTGTGCCATCCTCATGGCTGCAGTCACCATGTCTATACATGTCGTTGGAGGTCTTCCACTCTTTCACTGACCCCCTACCTTTTAATTACATCTAGTCTGTTATATTGCCTTCCAAGAAATAACAATATGCCCAAAGTATGTGAGATGAAGCTTCACTATCTTTGCCTCCAAGGAGCACTGTGGCTGTACTTGTTAAAGACCTGTCTGTTTGTTCTTGTGGGATATTCTGTACACTTCTCCAGCATCACAACTCCATAGCATTAATTCTTCCATTATCCTTATTGATTGTCCAACTTTCAGGTGTGTAGCAAGTGATTTGAAAGACCATGGCTTTTACCAAAGTTCATAGAGATTCAGGAGGTATGTTGTTTGGGAAGTAGGTGCCACTCCTGCTTCCACATAGTCACTAAAATAACAGACTCAGACATACCAATGATTATGAAGATGATGCAGGACCAAGTGACATTTGCTGTGTTATGCATGGAGTTGCCATGAATTTGAGCTAAGTCAGTGGCAACTGGTGACAATGGGTCAAGACAACTTGCCTGAAACTCTATGAACTTTGAGAAATGTTGAGAGTTACAGAAAGGCTTCAGGTATTTTGTTTATAGGGTCTCTATGAGCCGTGCTCGACTCGAGGACAATCAACAACAACTGCAGCAACAAAGTAAAAGTTGGGGGCAGGATGGCGGGGGGTTGGATCCAGTAATAGGTGACAAAGGAGGCGTGCTGCCTGCTGCCAACCTGCCATGTTTCCACTGCCTGTCAGGAGGGATCTGGAGTAGGAAATGGACATTTTTAATCTGTGCCCCAGGAGGAGCTGCATTGGGGGCAGAATACCAGCAAATACCTTCCAAAGCAAACACAGAGACAAGTTTGAAGAGAGTCAGCCTAAGAAAGAGGCCTCATAATTTATTCCTGTGGGTACAGGTAATTTTAGAAACATAACTGAAACAAGGGGTTCTGAGAAAAAACTAGTTATTATGGAAAAAGATTGGACTCTTTATCACTGGAGGAAGTGGACAATGGCCTACTGTGGACACAGGTAGGAATGGCAGGGGACTATGGGTAAGAGCCCTGGTTCTGCTCCCAATGTCTCTGTGACCATAAAAAATTACAGGGCCTTTCAACACCTTAGTTATAAGAGCAGTACATTTTTCATATATTGATTGAGGGCTAAATGAAATGATGCACATCGAGTATTTATAAAAGTATATTTAAAGAATTCTCAACAAATGTTTATTCTTCTGATTGTTATTGTAATGGAATTAGTAGGTCTCTAATTTTAGAATAAACACAACATATGCAGTCAGTGTAGACAGTAGAGAACAATTAGAATCAAGTAACCTGGGCTCCAAATAAATTATCCACAAAACTCCTTAGTTGTCTGCTTTGCAATTTTGAAATGAGGGGATTGTGTGTTTTTCCAACTGTCACTACGGAAACAGTTCCAGGATATTAAAGGGAATGCTGAGTTTCTTTGGGCCAGTTCAATTATTATCCCGTAGGATCACTATGAGTTGGATTCAGCTTGTTGGTAGTGAGGTTCCAACTGCTTAGTAGAGTTTAAACCTCTTCTTTAATGTGGGCTGGTATCACTGCAATTTATGTTTATGGATTGAGTTTCTAAGATGCGGCTTTATAAAGCGTGTAGCCCATCCCTTCTCTGAGTACACTTTTTGTTTTGTTTTAAGTGCCAGTAACAGCCTCCCATGGAAAGATGAATAATTTCAGAGTTAGGGAATCCCTGTCCTAGGCATTCTCTGAAATGGATGCAAGTCAGTTTCTCTCCATCCTTGCTAGTTCTCATTCTCCTCAATATTTATTTCTACCTTCTAATTTCTTTGCTTATCAGGAGTGGCATCCACTTCCTAAACAACAATCCTCTGGAAACTCTATGAACTTTGATAAATGATGCTAGTTACAGAAAGGCGTCAGGTCTTTTGTGCATAGGGTAACTATGAGTTGTGCTTGACTCGAAGGCAATCAACAACAACAACATGTAGAATGTAAAAGTCCTCCTGTCTAATAATTCCTAACACATAGCCTTATGTTCAGAGAGGGCACTGCCAAAGCAGCTACGATGAGTAAGGCAGGAAACATAGCATCTTACCAATGGTCTCCATCGTGTCTCTCTCTTCAATCAACAGTTGAGCCCTGGGTATATCTATATGCATTCTCAGGGTCTGTTGTTGCTTGCTCAAGGTATCTGAAGTTCGAGTATTCTTACTGGGAAAAAGATAGGGGAAGAATAAATTAACAAATGCAGGTTAGTACTGTATTATAACAATGTATTCTTATAAACCACATTGCTTTGTTCTCTCACTGTACAAACCTCAAGGAGTGAAGTCATGGCATGTGGGGAGGGAAGGAGGAGAAGTATATGCTGTGACTATTTACTTCATATACATTATTAATATTAAATTTCAGAGAAACAGTCAAAAAGATTAGGAAATGCAATTGACATAAGAGAGTGGTTCTTTATCAATAGAATTCATTTCTCGTGAAAAAGTGAAATAAATTAAAAATTATTTTTAATTCCACTTCTCAAATATAAACGATTCCAAGGGGAGTAAGGAAGCTAGCGTAGGTATCAGCAGCTCACCAGATGGGGGCTCTCTAAGTCGAGGTCCACTAGAGGAGGTTGGTAGGTGAGCGTTCACTGGAAAGCAGTTACACTCACTGGTATGTATTTATATCGGGTGCCACTGTGTCTTTGTTCCAGTAGCAAATCACAAAACTTGTTAGCTTCCCTGACATTAGTTTCATTCTCCTGATAGTATATTTTTTAAATAGAAGAAAAGCAATTACTATAATAATTTTATTTCAGAATTTGTGTACCAGAAAATTACTCTTTGAGTGAGCTGTCTTCTCAAAGTAAATGGAAATAGGTAATAAAACTGCACAGCACAATCATATTCAGTTACAGCCTGCAGTTAAAAAACAACAACAAAACTCCCTATTGTATAAACTTATAAAAAAAATCAGTAAAGGCCTTAATTAGCCGTCCACATTAGAAGGATGGATGCTCAATCTTTATAGAAATGTAAGAATTTAGTAGATTTTAAAATAATGTTTACTGAAACATCCTCAAAGTCATTTGTGTAATTAAATCAATGAGTTAATCTATGGCATTCATAAATCCAACCCAATAATTGTCACAATCTGTTTCGAAAGAGAGTTCCGGTGCCTGGTTTCCTAAAATGATGAGTCACTTCTATGTTACTTTTAATAGGGAACAGGAAAGAGGATATCCACAAAAAACTATGAATGCTTTTCTCTCCAACCAAGAATTTCTCTAGGAATTCCAGGGCTCCACTCCCACAGTTCCTTCCTCATCAGTGAATTTATATCCATACTTGAGTCATGTGGCTGTTCTCAAGTCAATTCTGCTTCACAGCGAGCCTATGTTCAATAATAGATGAACACCTTGCCCAATTCTGCGCCATCCTCACATTCTCCCATGCGCTTAAGCCCATTATTGGATCCACTGTCTCAAATTATCTTGTGAAGGGTCTTCCTTCCTTTCTCTTGCTGACCCTCTACTTTTCATATCCTTTTCAAAGACTGGCCCTTCCTGGCAACAATGCCCAAAGTATCTGAGATGAAGTCTCAAAATGATTGCTTATAACACAGACAGGTTGGTTATTTTGACATCCCATGTTATATTCAAGACTCTTGGACAACACCACAATTCAATTAATTGCATTAATTCTTCTGTGGTCTCCCTTATTAATTACATAACTTTCAAATGCATATGTTGTTGTCATCTGCTATTGTGTACCATCTACCATCGAGTCAGAACTGACCCACAGATGACTCTTCAGCTGGTTTTTAAAGGCAGTACATTGCACGGGAGGAGATTGCCCATCCTTCTCCCATGGAGGAGCTGGTGGATTTGAACTGCATGCCTTCAGGATTGCAGAGCGGCTTCTTACCACTAGGCTCACATGCACATGAAGCAACTGAAAATACCTTGGCTTGCATTAGACATGACTTAGTCATGAAAACTGATATTGTTGAATATGGTTTGTAGAATAAACAAGGTCAAGCCCATTAAATAATTCCTTAAAATATTTGCATGCTAAGTCCATGTTAGCATATAGAATATTTTATATGTTTCTCTTCCTTTGAGTATAAACAGAACAGCCTATGAAAAAAGACAATTTCTGAAAGGTGCTAGCATTTCTATTTAGAACTTGATCTTGAACCAGATTTCTGACCCCACAGATGAGTAACTAGGCTATTTAGCTGGATCATGCTAATTGCGTAGATTCTGGCCTGAATTATTCACATGGTGCATATATTCTCAAATCACTTGCTTGACTAACTTCTTCCTTGGTGGTTAAAAAAATTTAACACTATACTCCTGATGGTGCCATGAAAAGACTATGTAATAAAATATTTTCAAATCAGAAAAAAAAAATTTAACACTAATAAAGCAAAGATTCACATTCTTGAATAAAACTAAAAGTGTTTTGGTCACCCAGAGCTACAGTTATATCAAACATCAACAAGCTCTATTTCCACAAAAACATACGGGGGACTACTCCTCTGTGGATATCAGAGAGATCTGTTTTGAAACTTCACCAGGGACCTGAGCTTTGTCCTTGCACCAAAAATAGAAGTGTGAGCTAGTTCCTTCTGCTCATCATGAATAGTTATGAGGCAGTCAGCGGCTGTTCTATTAAACAGAACAGCTATGAGCACAAAATGCAGGCTATACTTAAATAACAATGAGGGGTGTGCGATCAGATTGACACAGGAAGCAAGCTAAATCACTGCTTGAACCACTGCAACTGGCACAAAAGCTTAGAATATGATTAAACCTTACAAACAGAGGCAAGCAAAGCTGGAGGTAAATGCCAATGTCCTTTCCTCTAAGGACGGCACCTGCTGAGAGACCTCTGTGGGAAGATAAGAAAATGCCCCACAAACCCTGAGATTCAGACATCAATATCTCCCCAACATCTGTGAATTTGTTGTTCCCTTTGTCCAGAGTAAAGGAACTATCCCAATCTTCCTCAGTGTTCCTTCCCTTCTTTCTGAACTTGACTCTGATGCCTTCTTTTCTTCTTTTCTTCAGTGGACCCCTGCCACTTTCTGCTTTATTTTGCCTCTGTAGTATTTCTCACTACCTAAAAACCAAAATCTAAACCCATTGATATCTAGTCAATTCTAAGTCAAAGTGACCTGATCAGGTTTCTGAGGCTGTAAACCTTTATGGAAGGAGATCGGCCATTTGCCTCCTGTAGAGCAGCTGGTGGATCCACATCACTGATCTCTCTGTTAGCAGCAAAACATGTGGCATGCTACAGACCAGAGCTCTTTTATGACTGTTGTTGTTGATTGCTGTCAAATGTGACTCTTAGCGACTCTATGAACAAAAGATCTAATGCCTTTCCATAACTACCATTATTTCTCCAAGTTCATAGAGTTTCCAGAGGCATATGGTTTAGGAAGTGGATGTCACTCCTGCTTCCAAACTTGTTCTACAACTGGGAGCTCCACCAAACTGTCCACATTGGGAAACCATTATGGTATTTGATACCTCAATGGTACAAGGTTCAGCATCACAGCAAAACCCAAATTACTTCATACTGCACATTGACAAAGAGTGATGCACAAAGTGGAAGAGTGTTCTCCAGATATAACAGCACTAGTTTAATTTAGCAGTGGTTAGGTGTTGTCAAGTTGAATACTCAGAGTAAGTTTTGCACAAAAGACCTGAACTCTGTTCTATAACTAACACCACTTCTGTACAGAACTCTGTTCTATAACTAACATCATTTCTGTACATTTATAGAGTTTAGAGTTTGTAGAGTTTAGAGAGTTTCTAGATTTTCCAGAAGCATCAAGTCAAAGAAGTGGATGTCATTTCTGCTTCCCAGCATGAGTCAATCTGGAAGCTCATCCAAACACTGTACATAATGGGTAACCATTACAGTATTTGGCAAGACTATGGAACAGTGTGCAGCATCACAGCAACACCAACTTGTTCAGTTCAGCAAATAGACAAAAGATTGCTGTATCATTCAGACTTCTACCCTAGGCAAAGGCTCAAGGACATGTGCTCTTAGGGGGGAAAGAGCAGTAACACACATCAAACATGACCCCAAAAAACACGACCCCAAAACCTTCCCTTACGTGCCCATCAGAACTGCCATCCAGGTGCAGCAAACAGCCAAACTCCTCCCTTTATGACTGCCTAGTATATATTTAATTTTGTATTTTTTATTAACTATCTCTTCTACTGGAATATAAGCATGGCATATAATATTTTCATCTGTCCTGTTAACTGTATATCCCAAAAGTATAAAGTCTTATTTGTCACAAAATAGGAGTTCCTCTGAAGAGACCATAGCTGACATCCAAGCAGATATATGCACACCCATGTTTATTGCAGCTTTGTTCACAATAGCAAGGAGTTGGAAACAACCTAAGTGCCCATCAACAAACGAATGGCTAGAGAAGCTGTGGTATATTCGCACAATGGAATACTATGCTGCATTAAAAAACAAGGAACTCATGCAATATTATTCAAAATGGTTGACTCTGGAGAACATTATGCTGAGTGAAATATCCCAGTCACAAAAGGACAAATATTACATGATGCCACTGTTGTAGAATGGGACTGTCCTTGGGGCTGGGGAGAGACTGAGTAAGATGGGTTCAATAATGTGTACTGCACTGAAACAGAGGAGGGAGAGAACCGTTTAAAAGAGAGATGTAACTGGGTATTTCTGTCATCACAGGAGACTAGAGCGAGGGTTGCATGGTGGAGGGGACCTGGGGGAGGGTTTGTAAAACAATGAAAGAATCTTTTCTTTTACTTTTCCATAATTTTTGGACTCATGTACTTATAACTTGTTAGTCAAATTTGTGTCTTCTAGGTTGCAACACCCCCATGATACATCTTCAAGGATATGTACATGTACAGCCAAGCACAATCAATAAGAGTGCATCTGAATTCCAAAATCAATCTCCATAATAGTCTATGTGTTTCCTACTGCCAAAGGGGCCCTTTAGAGTAGTGAGAGATCTTCACCCTGAAACCCACAGCGTCCCTTTTCAGCAGGAAGTAGCTAAGAGAATACGCCGTGCCCTTTTCCTTATGACTCAGGGTGAAGTCTCTCTCAGGGAGGAGTGATAGGGAATGGCAAAGGATACACTGACAAAGAAGATTGATCAGAACTGGCTTTGACAAGCACTGTGGCATTTGGACAAGA